AGGAAAACACTCAATATTTTTCTTAAAATTCTTTATTTAGCTTTCTTACAAAAAGAGTAAAAGGAGGCAAGATTTTTGAAAACAATTCCTTCTTGATCTTGGTACAGTGGGGCCTTGACTTCGAGTGTCTCGACTAACGAGTTTTTTGAGATACCAGCTGTCTCTTGGCCAATTTTTTTGCATTGAGTTGATAGAGTAATTTGAATTAACGAGCTCCATAACGAGCTCCTTAATGAGCTTGGTCTCGGAACGAATTAAACTCGTAAGTCAAGGCCCCACTGTACTTAGAACTGATATTGTTGGCTTGATTTTATTCTAAATTATGTCATCTTTGGAGTGAATCAGAACATTACTAGAATACTTAAGGATGAGAAGTAAACTGCCCACTGTGGAAAAGGACAGGTGCTTCTTGTTTGATTGCATTCACAGCACATGAGCTACTCCTTGCTGTGCTATAATTGTTTTTACTTGCAGAGAAAGAAAGTACCTTGTCTTTTTATGCTATTTTAGAAAATGCATTGTCGGTTGATTATATTTCGTTACTAGTGTGTGGTGAATGAGAGTTGGCAATATTCAAATTTATATCAAACAGTTTTACTTCAGAGACTTGCTGAAGAGTTGAAATGATCTCAATCTGTTTTTAATATAGTCAGCTATTCCACTGCTCTGCTTACCTGGGACCTCACTTATCTTGCAGCTCAGTGCGGTGGTGCGATGTCAGATTTCAGTGGTGTGATTCTCAGCCCGGGGTTTCCTGGAAATTACCCCAGCAGTTTAGATTGCACGTGGACAGTAAAGCTGCCTGTAGGTTTTGGTATGTATGTTAAAAACAGGTGAAAATGTTTTCAACATCATGAGAAGCATCCTTTAAATATATCAAATGTCTAACATAAAATATTCATAAATTGTAGTTTAATTTGGGTTACATACAGTTATGTAAATTGATGAGTGCAATTTGGATAATTGTTGATAAGCCAAATATATTTCAACTGGAATACTTGGATAATTGAAAGAATATGGGTATTTTTTTAATTTGATAGATGGATAGATAGGTAAGTAGATAACTTCATGGTATTTTCTATTTGATATGCATGGATATGCATGGATGTAGCCTGAGTTAGATGTGTGTGGCAATGAGAAATTCAAGCTAATTTTCTTGTATGATTGTTTTTGTAATTCTTCACTTTGTACCCAAGTAGTACATAGACAAATTATTTTCTAGTAATATATTCAATTAATTTAATATTCATTGTAAATAAATAAAACTTTACATTTGAAAAATAGTATAAATTTTTAAATGTTTAGTTTTAAATACCCCTGTGAATATACTTTTTAAATTAATAATACAATTGCCAGTATTTTGGATATATTGCATTTAATAAATTCTTTCTCACTCTTAAATCACAAATATATTCTCTTATAGGCTCTTCATATTCCATGAGTCTATAAATGCATAAAGAGAAGTGCTAGATTGAGGATCAGCTTTTTCATTAAATTTCAGAAGACTAGGATGAGTAGACACTTCCTTAAATAGAAACTTAGTGGATTTAGAGCAATTAAGAAATTCTATACTATCTCACTTATTGAGGACTGAATTTAAGTACCCAATTACCCAAAACATCTATAGCCTCAGAATACAAATTCATATTTAAATGTTTTACATGAATTTGCAGAAACTCATACTTTTAATAATTCTTTACTGAGTACATATTATTCTACAGGTACAATGCTAAGTACTGGGGATAAAATGCATAGTAGAATGGACTTTGTACCTGTCTCCAAATAAGTTACAGTCAGAATGAGGAGACATGTTCTCTTTATTATTATTATTATTACATTTACTGGGTTGGAACAAACACTTAAAACAGTGCCTAGATGGAAACATATCTAAGTGCATGAAAGCGAGTATGTGCATTTGTGTGTGTGCATTTAATTCGGTAAAAAAAAAAAAAAGTAATACTGCTTGCTTTTCTTCCTTAGGTGTACATCTCCAGTTTGTAAATTTTTCTACAGAAACTATACATGATTATTTGGAAGTAAGAAGTGGAACCTCAGAGACTAGCACTGTTATTGGCCGACTTAGTGGTCCTCAAATCCCATCATCCTTATTCAGCACAACTCATGAAACAAGCCTGTACTTTCACAGTGACTATTCACAAAACAAACAAGGGTTCCACATTGTATACCAAGGTGAGTTGGATAATAAAAAGTGAAAGCTTATTTAGCCCAAATCAGTAATTAGCAATCTAACTCTAAATAGTTTCTATATTTTGTTTTAGAAATAAAAAGAACCTAAGCCAAGCAAACTTCAATTAGAAAGATTTTTTTTAAGTGCAGTTTTCAGGCAACTATATAGGGGGAATGATGTCTTTCTGAGGCCTTAGAAAATCTTAATTCTGAAAAAAGGATTGAGTTAGTCTTAGTGCAGTGAAATTAAGCATGTCAAGGCAAGGTAGTTAAGCAAGGCAAGCTAGATAAAGTTTTATATTTACATCATGGAGTTAGTAATAGTATCTCTCAGATAAATTGCTTTGAACTTTATATGATAAAATGAATGCAAAATATATATGGTATATATCATTGAATTTTAGCTGTTATTATTATATTATTCCAACCCTGAAGTCTAAAATTTAAAATCAGATATTTAAAGTTAGGATATTTTACACAAATAATGTAATTCCAATGACTTGGATGTTTAATCCAAATACCTTAAAATTTTATTATATCTCTGCCCTAATTATTAAAGGATTTTGTAAGTATATAACACATTCTTATTGTGATTTCCAGTCAGTGATCTCTGTTTGTTCCTTGATGCATTTCAAGTGCCTAGGACAATAATAGCACAATAAATACTTTTAGAATAAAAGTATATACCCAAGAGGACATTTAAATATAGTTAAAATAGACATTGTAACATCCAACTACATGGGTCTAAATAATTAAAATTTGTGTTATATTTGCAGACATAATATAAGAGCACTACATCACACATTATCCTTTACATAAAATAGGAGTCATTTCTACCACCTCACAATACAGAATTAACTGTGCTCCCAAAGACTTTAATTATTTGAGAAACAATTGGGCAACAACTGATTTTCTTCTCTGTTGCTAAAAGACTCGGAACTATATCGTGGTCCTCTTCTAGCAAGTATACTGAGCCTTATGCCAGCACTTTGGTATTGAACTTAAACCTGGCTTCATGTTCTTATTCCTGCCCTCAATTTCTTCTCCCTCTCAAAATAAAGTTCTTATTTTAATGATATAAAACTGGAATTTGAACTTTATTAACTGCATTTTTAGTCAATATGCCCTCGAAAAATATTTATTTTTGTGATAAAAGCATAAAATAGAGAATCTATTACTCATTGATCTAATGTTAATATTATTGACATGAGCCACAATGTATTATAATCATGAGTACATATTATTTGTAAGTTACATTGAATTTTGAAACTATCTCTTCATTTACTGCATTGATATCATTCAGCTGATGCCAATTGTGTGAAATAGATTAATTTATACAGATTCACAGAACCAATGTTATTTTTAAATGATCTTGCAATTAGACTTGAAACACTTTCTGAATTTTGGAAAAGTGCATAGTGTACACTATTTATAGGCTCAAAATTTATTCAGCCGTCTTTATTAAGCACTTCCTGTGTGATGGGCAATGGACAAGGCTTTTAGCATACAATGATAAACAAAACAAATAGGAACTTTGATCTCAGGTAGAACATAGAACCAAAGGAATATGTACAAATGAACACATTGTTATACTGAAGTGCCAAAAATATCATGTTAACTAAAGTACAAAATTTATACCAAGAGGAAAATTTTTCCTAGTATTTTATATTATTACATAACTATTTTGGAGAAACTCAACAGTGGCTTATTCCTTTTAAAGAAAAAAATAAAGAAAATAAAATTCAAAAGACTCAGAATGAAGTTTACAAGTGTTTATTTTATTCTATGTATGTGCCATGTAACCAGGAAGCAATTGTACTCTCTGTAAAGGAATCAGAATATGTTGGATTAAAACTGTGGTGGTAATAGTAGTTCATATTTTCATTAAAACATAATTTAGATGGATTACATAAGTGGGTGAATAAAGTGAATGCATTTTTGTAAATTATACTAACATTTGAATGGAAAAGTATAGACATGAAAAGCAATTCATATATTCTCATTAATATCATTTGTCATAAACCTGAATTGCTATTTGTAACCAAATACAAGGAGCAGTGCATCTATTTTTCAAGTTGCAAATAGTACGCAACTGTGGTCTTTCAAAATTCAGAAAGGAGAAACATTTTCCTTTTTTCCCTTTGCAGCCTATCAGTTGCAAAGCTGTCCTGACCCACGCCCATTTCGCAATGGCTTTGTCATTGGCAGTGATTTCACTGTGGGTCAAACCGTTTCCTTTGAATGTTTCCCTGGATACACGCTGATTGGAAATTCAGCTCTCACTTGCCTTCATGGAGTGAGTCGCAATTGGAATCACCCACTTCCAAGGTGTGAAGGTAGGCGTCATCCACGTTTAATCAGTTTTGTTTGGGCACTGTTTTGTCTTCCTCTTCAAATAGCATGCGAAACACACAGTCTCTCTTTCAGTTGAATAATTATAGTTGGTACCCGGTTTAAACCCTGAAGGCTCCGAAATGAATAACTGATTTTATTATTATTGGCAGAAGCCCTAACCTCCTCCATTGCCAGGAAAGATAAAGTTAATGCTTTAGAGCTCCTCCTATATGTGTGTGTCTGTGTAGCTGTGTGTGCGTATGTTTAATAATCATTCTTATAAAAACCAATAACCCCAGATACTGCTACTGAATTTGGGTACATTTCCTCTTAAAAAACCTTTTAAATAAAAATCCCTGAACCTCTTTTAAGGCCATATATACATATGGTGTAAGACAAATAGGAGTTGAACAGTGTAAATATATATTGATAAAATATTTGGGGAAAGAACACAATGTAATTTATTAATTTAATAATAGTTAATAATAACTAGGTAGCATGCTTCATATAGAAAAATAAATACAAGCTAACAATATTTTGCTCATGGTTTGCAACTTTATATACCTAACTGGAGTAAAAACTTAATACAGACGGATTGTCTACTGCTTAAGTTTTAAATGTGCACCTTTTTCTTTATAATCAATTTATTGTTATTTAATATAACATTGCGTTTTGTGTCTTTTCTGTAGCTCTTTGTGGAGGGAATATAACTGCTATGAATGGCACCATTTATTCTCCTGGTTATCCAGATGAATACCCCAACTTTCAAGACTGTTTTTGGCTTGTACGAGTACCCCCTGGGAATGGAATCTACATCAATTTCACTGTCCTTCAAACAGAGCCAGTCTATGATTTCATTACTGTATGGTAAGCCAGGGCCATTATGACTTATTGATTCACCAAGGTAGAAATGAAAATATATCACAATCCTCTGTAAACAGAAATTGCCACCTGGTGTGACTGAGGGTGACAGTTTGTGGTTTGTAGAATGAGACAAAGAAGAGAAATAGATTTAGATTTTTCCCAGAAAGTAACTAAACACTTTGAACAAAAACTTTATGTATGGAAAAAAGATTTTAATTTATTATTAAACTGATATGCAAAAAACAAGGAATTAATATCAGGGTAAGTTTAAGGTAAGAAAGTTACATATTTCCAAAACTAGTGAAAATTTAAAAGCTTATGAACACATCATACTGATTTAATATAACTTTAATTTCTCTCATAATAATTTGTTATAAAATATATTTGTATTATCCTATTAATTGAAACATCTTTATTTAAAAATACATTATAAAGTAACTATCTGAATTATAACCTGACAATTGGTTAATAGAACCACTGTGTGAGTTCTATGATTCCTTCTAAATTTATTCAAGATTGATTTGAAGAAAATAAAAGCAGACCTCAAGAATTTAGGAAGCTTGGGTTATAGTCAGGAAACCAAAGATAGTGTCGTTGATTACAATTAATATGAGTGCATTTCAGTTAGGTAAAAATCTGGTCTATTTTTATACTTTAAATTTTTTTTAATGTTATCACTGATATAAACACAAAGTATACCAATATGATATGGCACTCGTTGGTTATTTCATCTGCTCTATCATCTCTTATCTAATGCTTTTATTAAACTTTGTGGAAAACTCACCTAAAAAACTAGTCTTAATCTTTCTCCCCCTCTGTTCTGTCTCTCTCGAATAGGGATGGGCCAGATCAAAACTCGCCTCAGATTGGGCAGTTCAGTGGCAACACTGCTTTGGAGTCAGTCTATAGCACTTCAAACCAGATCCTCATCAAATTCCACAGTGATTTCACAACCAGTGGCTTTTTTGTGCTCAGTTATCATGGTTCGTATTATCTAAGAATTTCTGTTTCATTTGCTACTGTTTAAAATTGTCCTGGAAAATTGACTGAAAAATATATTTAACCAATGATTGAAAAGGTATTAAATTGTGACACTTAAAATTGCTTCAAATACATTTACTTGCAAAGAATAACCTCTTATAAGCATTAGGGACATTAAAATCTAAACTAATGGAGACAGGATATAAATCACTCAGTAATTACCCAGTAGAAAATAATATTTTTTTTCCACATGGAAACCAATAAAAGAGAACCAGCTGTTTATGTTTTATTGCATGTAACTTTGAGACTTTTCAATACAAAATGTTTATTCAACCTGCTGTGAGTCTTTCTAAAACTAGCATCCAATATCTTTTTGCTTGGAATCATATTACTCAATCATTTATACTTTGTTTCAAAACTATAGCTAGTCTAGAATATTACAGTTTTCAGTGACTCTTCCAGATGATTAAGTTCATAGCTTTTATGTCTGTAGAATAATTTATGAAGAATTGCAACCTTAATTCTTTGTTTACTTCTGGGTCTTCTCCTCATGAGGGTAACTTCTTCAGAAAAACATTCAGATGGTCTCACAGCTTTTCAATATTTTTATTTTATCTCAAGTTGATTTTATTTCATTATAAACAAGAAAATTTTAATTTATTTCTAATGATGACATACCTTTATCTGCTATGACCACACCTCCATGAAACACATTCTGCCTCATGTAACTTTGTTGGACCAATTCCATGAGTATTTCATAGAACCAATAACCTACTGAATTAAACTCGCAAGTTATATAAAAATTTGCAACATGAACATGTGCTTTGTCATATACAATTTAATGTTTTTATCTCTCTTAACACAATGTAAAGCTTTGATACTCACATCTTATATTCCATGAAAAATATGGTTATTCTCACATTTAAAACACATCAGGTTGAGATACCCAGAGCATCGGCCAGAAAATATTTGATTTGCTTTATCTCAGCATTTATCAGCCAGGAGCTAGTACCCACTTTGTCCTTCCCTAGTGCCCACAGCTGCATGAACACTCCAGCACAGCCAACTAGGAAGGGGCGTTCAGTCAGGTAACTTTTGTTTGGGCTTTTTACAAAATAACTCACTTGCCTTGTTTACTGACTTGGATATTGGTGCCGGCATTCCGTAGATATAGTCTAAGACTATAACAACAGTTTTATTACTTTCATGACTAATCATAACTTGGGAACCAATAAATTAAGTAATAAAGTTGAAAACTGAATTAGTTGCTTAACTGCATTTGTACATTTTATCTTTCATGGATCCTTGCATAAATTTTTATTATTTTGTGCCCTGCCAGAACAAATGACAAAGAAGGGACTAATTCATTGATGGACTATAAAGATCCATAGCTGACCATGTAGGGAATGTACAATTCTTGTAGGATAGATGTCAAAAGGGAAATATTGTCAGAGAAAAAATGCCTGTGTATGTGCATTCATATAGAAAAAATTAGGATTGTAGAATGTGTATGTATACACACAAAGTGTGAATGTGGATTTACATGGACACTAATGTGGAGATACACATATATATATATATATATATATATATATATACTAGAGGCCCAGCGCACGATTAAATCATGCGTGTGTAAGGTCCCCTAGGCCGAGCCTGCCATCAGGGCCATGTCTACTGCCCTGTGACACCTTGCACGCTCCGTGGATGCTGCTAGCGCCCCATAGCACTCCCGGCTCATGCCCTTCCCCCGTGTGCTGCCTCCCCCTGCCTCAGGCCATGTGGCCCCCTCCCCAACCTCCACAGCAGGAGCACCTTCGCTTGTCACCTGGGGAACTGCGCCTTGCTCCCCGTCCCCGCCCAGCGCCCATCCCCTGCGCCCTCTTCACCGCAAGGCCTGCCTGCCAGCCCCATGTGAGCCCCACCTCATCGCACAAGCCATGAGTCCCGGCCTGCAAGAGATGCTCCATGCCCCTCCTGGTGACCCATGGTTTGGTCGTGCTGCCATCCGCGGGCTCTGCCTCCACCATGCCAGCACTCCAGCCCCACGCAAGCCCCACCAGCCCTGTGTGAGCACCGTTTTGCCGTGCGAACCGTGAGTCCCAGCCCGTGAGAGATGCTCCATGCACCTCCTGGTGACCGGTTGTTTAATGGAGTCATGACCACAGGCCTTTTATGATATAGACTAGAGGCCTGGTGCATGAAATTTGTGCATGGGGTTGGGGAGTGGGGGTTGTCCCCTAAGCCCAGCCTGCACCCTCTCCAATCTGGGATGCCTTGGGGGATGTCCAACTGCCAGTTTAAACAGGCAGCCGGACATCCCTCTCACAATCCTGGACCACTGGCTCCTAATTGCTCACCTGCCTGCCTGCCTGATCACCCCTAACTGCCCCCCTGCCGGCCTGGTTGCCCTTCACTGCCTCTGCATGCCGGCCTGGTCGCCCCCAACTACCTCCCTCTGCCAGCCTGGTTACCCCTAACTGCCCCTACCTGCCTGCCTGGTTTCCCACAACTGCCCCCTACTGGCCTAGTCACCCCTCACTGTCCCACCTGCCAGCCTAATTGCCCCCAACTGCGCCCCTGCCAGCCTGGTTGTCCCCAACTACCCCCCCCCATCAGCCTGGTTACCCACAACTGCCCCCCTACTGGCCTAGTCACCCCTCACTGCCCCCCCTGCCAGCCTAATTGCCCCCAACTGCGCCCCTGCCAGCCTGGTTGTCCCCAACTACCCCCCCCCATCAGCCTGGTTACCCACAACTGCCCCCCTACTGGCCTAGTCACCCCTCACTGCCCCCCCTGCCAGCCTAATTGCCCCCAACTGCGCCCCTGCCAGCCTGGTTGTCCCCAACTACCCCCCCCCATCAGCCTGGTTACCCACAACTGCCCCCCTACTGGCCTAGTCACCCCTCACTGCTCCCCCTGCTAGCCTAATTGCCCCTAACTGCGCCCCTGCTAGCCTGGTTGCCCCTCACGGCCCCCCACCAGCCTGGTAGCCCCACCCAGCCTGCTTGTTCAGTCGTTTGGTCATCCCTTGGGCTGGCCCTGGGCAGCTTGGGGGGCTGAGGGGACTGGGTGTCTCCATCTTGTGGCTGTGGGTGCCGCCATCGTTGAGGGCATGGCAGTTAATTAGCATATTTAATCCTTATTGGCTGTTGGTACTGCCATCTTTGAAGGCGGGGCAGTCAATTAGCATAGCCCCTCCTTATTGGTTGTGGGAATCACCATCTTTAAGGGGGGGAGTCAATTAGCATAGCCCCTCCTTATTGGCTGTGGGCGTCACCATCTTTGTGATAGCATGAGGGTCAATTAGCATATCCCTTCTTTATTAGATAGGATATATAAAATCCTAAGTGACTGGTCGACCAGTCACTATGATGCGCACTAACCACCAGGGGGCAGATGCTCAATGCAGAAACTCCCCCTTGGTGGTCAGTGTGCTCCAACAGAGGACCTGTCCCGGTGGCCCACCAGCCCAGGTGGCAACCCCTCACTCCCTCAGTAGTCCTGCAGGTCCAATCTTTGGAGACCGGGCCAGGCACTGACGGACTGTAACCGCTAGCATGATCCCAACAGCTCCACTGGCCTCCTGGAAGTTGGCCTCAGGCACTATGGCCGCTTCCCCTCCCTAGAAGCTCCACAAGGAAGAAATGATATAGAAGCAGCTGACAGGTGGCTCCCGACAACCGGTGTGAACATAAGTGAGACAGATCTGGATCCCGGGCTGGCAAGGGTGTCCCACCACCCACCCAGAGGGCCAATCACAACCCAGCTCCCCCCCATCCCTCTCAGGAATGTCCGCCTGCTGGCTTAGCTGGAAGGTGGACATCCCCTGAGGGGTCCTGGACTGAAAGAGGGTGCAGATCGGGCTGAGGGGACACCCCTCCCCCCCAGTGCATGAATGTTGTGCACCAGGCCTCTAGTTTAAGCTATAAAACATCATTGTAGGATTGCTGAGATTAACGAGATACTGGATATGTAGAAATTACTTTAATTACTGACATAAGTTAGATTGAACAATATGAAATTTTTGGTCAAAAATGCTCAATATTGCATAGTTCAACCCAAATAATTGCTGTCATTATTACTATTTATTATAACATTATATTGCAGAGATTATATAAGAATTGGAGACAATGGAGAATATACAGTTATTATAGTGCCTGACAGAGTAGATGTTCAGTAAGTTTTCCTTTCCTTACCATACCTTATCTCACATTTTACATTTTCTGAGAGAACATTTATTTTATGCTTTAAATTTCATAGTCAGGCAAAATTACCAGAGCCTAGAGAATCCTAACATTTGAATCAACATCTCTGGAAATTTTATCCAAACCTTAAAATGACCTTGAAATTTGAGCTAGGTAGGGCTCATTTTAAAATTGACAGATGCCTTATATTCCAACAGCTCACTTAGGATAGTTTTCCTAAGCACTGCTTTCATCCAGATTCACCTTTTCAAGAATGCATGATGCCTACATTAAATCAAATTTATAGCTACCCTATAATCTGGTTCATTGAACCTTACTCCCCAGTGTCTATCTATTCTGGCTTCAGGCAGATATGTTCTCTTACTTCCTCCTGAACTTCAATTCCTAAATGGTTTCTTACTCATCTTTAGTTCTTTAAGTCTCTACATCTTAAATCCCTCCATTTCTTGATAATTCACACTCATAGGTGTCACTACCATCTTCTCTATGATGCACTTATTCTTTTTGCCAAGTCTAAGAGAACTTAATGACAGTATAGTGTATTGTTTTACAAGCCTGGGAGTTTGATAATAGTGAATGCATTTTTGAAGACACATCATATTTCTGCTTTGTATCCCTTTTATATTTTCACTAGAGGCCCAGTGCATGAAATTCATGCCGGGGGGGAGGGGGTCCCTCAGCCGAGCCTGCACCCTCTCAGTCTGGGACCCCTCGGGGGATGTCAATGCCTGCCTGGGGATTGGGCCTAAGCTGGCAGGCAGGCATCCCTCTCGCAGTCTGGGGCTCTTGCAGTCCGG